CAGAGGTTGAGACCCCTCAATCTCTGAGGATGCCTGCCATAGATGTGGGTGAAACATCAGGAGAGAATGCTTCCAGAATATGGCCATACATGCCCGGGAAAACTCACAGCAACCCTTTGCATTTTTGACTGCTCAATGTCCACTGGAAGCTAAACAAAGAATGACACTGGAGGAGCTACAGACCTCTAGAGCAGGAACGGATAAACTTGGGCCCTCCCGGTGTTTTGGACTTCAACTCCCACAATTCCTAACAGCCTCAGGCCCTTTCCTTTCCCCCCTCAGTCACTTAGGAAGGGGCCTGAGGCTATTAGGAATTGTGGGAGTTGAAGTCCAAAACACTGGGAAGGCCCAAGTTTGCCCGTGCCTGCTCTAGAGAGATGTTTTCTCTAGAATATCTAGGTCTTCCAATGTGAATCAATGAATGAAGTGTGGAGTTGCGCTGGAGGATCTAGAGCAGGCATGGGCAAATTCCTAAGCAGCCAGTAGTTATCAGTCTTAATCTCAATTTTTCCACTTCACATCTTAATACATTCTCTAAATAATTCCTAACTGGGTCCCATATGCTCTTAATTATTATACCATTTTCTATTATATCTATATTATTCAATTTACTTCCACATTTAACACATAAACTATATAATTATACCAATTTGTCAGAGTCCACTTGGTTTTATCTTTCCAACCCCTCACCAAAACAATCTGAGCACATGCTATTAATTTATCAACCACCCTTTCCTTTTACACATAATACACTCCTGGTATCCTTAAGAATGATATTTCAAATGTAATTTTTGTAGTTTATTGTAGAAAGTATATGTCTGGGGGAAAGGACAGAAGATGGGAGCGAGGTATAAAAAGGAATTGTGGGAGTTGAAGTCCAAAACGCCTGAAATTTGCCCATGCCTTGTCTAGAAATTCCTAGAGATTATATTTTAATCAAATTTGCAAATGTCAAAGTCACAAATTGTGGAGGGCCGAGTGCAATTGCTGGGAGAATCAAATGCAATTCACATTCCCTTTAGACAAACCATTCATTGTCATCCAATAGCAGGGAGGAGACTTAAAAACACTTTTGTCAAATGGGGTTGCCTTGAAATCATCATATAACAATGCAAAAACCCTTTGGTATTCTGAGTCCACTTCTCTCTGGGTAGGAAAGTAAGACAGAGAGAGGAAAGCAGCAGCAAACGTAAGCATCAGATATTATGCCTGGCTGAGGATACCTTAAGAGAGTCTTAACCCAACAAAGGGGTTGTGCTTGCAGTAGAGATGGGCTGATGTTTGCTTGCCCAGAGTTCAGGGCGGCACAGAGGTGTCCTAGCCAAAGATGCCAGGGTCGTGAAGCCGCAGGCTGCGTACAAAGGTGTGGAAATGCTCCACCGTCCACGGCGCTTGAGAAAAAGGAGGAGGGACCTCAGTTCCTTGGGCTGCGCTGCTGCTGAGGGGACTAAGAAAGAAAAAAGGCAGAATCAGAGTAAGGCACCAAACATTTTTGCGCACACACTTCACTCCAGTTGGCCACAAAACACTGGTGCTTAGAGCTCACCCCCTACCAACCCCAGAGATCCCTCCGTTCTGAGGACCAAGATCTATTGGAAATTCCCAGTGTCAAGACCTTGCGTCTAACAGCATCCAGATGCAGAGCCTTCACAGCAGTGGCACCATCACTCTGGAATACTCTGCCACCTGAAGTCTGTGCCTTGCGGGACTTACCAGCTTTCCGCAGGGCATGTAAGACATACCTGTTTCGACATGCTTTTAATGTTTGATATTACTGTTTTTAAATTGTTTTAAATTGCTTTTAAATTTTGTTAGATTTTAGCCATTCTTGTAAGCCGCTCTGAGCCCCAGGGGAGTGGCGGCATATACGTTCAAATAATAAATAAATGAATGAATAAATAAATAAATAATGACATTTTGTGGTTAGAAAGTAAGCATTATGTGGAAGAGGCCTGTATTAAGATACCCCAAACTCTGCTTTAAGGTATACGTACTGAATCCGTGTGGGATCGTTGAAGGTGAGAAGCAGGTCCGTTCCATACTGAGGGAGGCGCAGCAATGCCAGGTGCAGGGTGACTTCATTTTTGGCCTGGGAGCAGAAAGGGAACGAAGTGAAAGTCTTGGAGACAGCTGTCCTTTTCCAACCAGTGGAGAACATAAAATGCTCCAAAGTTTCCACTGGCAGTACTATTCCTTCCTTCAATCTAGAAAATAATAATAATAATAATAATAATAATAATAATAATACTTAAGTAATAATAAGAAGAGAGAATACCGTAAAAACACAATCCAGAGCAGAAGAGAAAACTGGCCAAAGAAGGCTCTCCATGGACAGTTCCTGGGGAAAATTGAGAGCCAAATTGACAAAGAAAAAACATGGCTGTGGCTCACAAATGGAACTGTGAAAAAGGAGACAAAGGAGGGCCTGATTCTGGCAGCCCAAGAACAAGCCATTAGAACCAATGCAATCAAGGCCAGAATTGAAAAGTCGACGACAGATCCCAAGTGTAGACTCTGCAGATAAAACAATAGATCACATCCTCAGCTGCTGCAAGAAGATCGTGCAGACAGACTACAAGCAGAGGCACAACACTGTTGCTCAGATGATTCATTGGAACTTGTGCCACAAATACCATCTGCCTGCACAAAGAACTGGTGGGATCACAAGCCTGAAAAAGTTACAGAAAATGAACACATCAAGCTACTCTGGGACTTCCAAATTCAGACAAAATTTTGAAGCACAATACTCCTGACCTCATAATTGTGTTAAAAAATGAAGTATGGATTGCTGATGTTGCAATCATAGGTGACAGCAGGATGGAAGAGAAACAACTGGAAAAGCTAACACGATATGAGGATTTAAAGATCGAACTGCAAAGACTCTGGAACAAGCCAGTCAAGATGGTCCCAGTGGTGATCGGCACACTGGGTGCAGTGCCTAAAGACCTTGGCCTGCACTTAAACACAATTGGCACTGACAAAATTACCATCTGCCACCTGCAAAAAGGACACCCTACTGGGATCTACATGCATTATTCGCCGATACATCACACAATCCTAGACACTTGGGAAGAGTCCGACGTGTGATCCAATTCAACAGCCAGTGTCTGCTGTGGACTAATCTTGTTGTGTTTCAAATAATAATAATAATACACTTTATTTCTATTCTGCTTTATCTCCTCAGAGAGGATTACAGTTTTACACATATAAGGCCTGTTTTTACACAGTAAACAACAACATACAATACACAGACAGAGGTAAAAGCCTTCCCCTTCCACGCCTGGCGTCTGGAGGCAATGCTCAACTCCAGTCACGGGGAAGTGCTCTTGTTCTATTTTTCCATGCCGAAGAGCCTGTTGTCCATAGACTTCTCCAATAGTGTTGCTGGCATGTCTACATGTGGCACCCTTTTACCTTTTACCTCCTCACCAAGACAGTACCTATTGATCTACTCGCAATACATGCTTTCGAACTACAAGGCAGGCAGAAGCTAGAGCTGACAGCCAGAAGCTTGCCCCGACTTGCAGCTTCAAATTACTAACCCTCTGGTCAGCAGATTTCCTGCACTATACTATCAATGCAGTCTAGAATCACATTGGCTTTTTTAGCTGCTGCATCACATTGTTGGCTCATGTTCAGTTTGTAAGACTCCTAGATTCATAGAATCAAAGAGTTGGACCTCATGGGCCATGTAGACCAACCCGCTGCCAAGAAGCAGGAAAATTGCATTCAAAGCACCCCCGACAGATGGCCATCTAGCCTCTGTTTAAAAGCCTCCAAAGAAGGAGCCTCCACCACACTCTGGGGCAGAGAGTTCCACTGCTGAACGGCTCTCACAGTCAGGAAGTTCTTCCTTATGTTCAGATGGAATCTCCTTTCCTGTAGTTTGAAACCATTCTTCCTTTGCCTCCTAGTCTCCAGGGCAGCAGAAAACAAGCTTGCTCCCTCCTCCCTGTGACTTCCTCTCACATACTTATACATGGCTATCATGTCTCCTCTCAGCCTTCTCTTCTTCAGGCTAAACATGCCCAGCTCTTTAAGCTGCTCCTCATAGGGCTTGTTTTCCAGAGCCTTGATCATTTTAGTCACCCTTTCACTAGTCTTATTGTCAAACTAGGAGTCACCCATCCTATATTTGTGTATTTCATTTTGTCTTCTGTTATTTCTCCCTACTGAAATCATATGGGCTAGAACTCCCTTTTTTCTTATTACAAGGATGTGTACGTTGCTAGTCGCTTTACAGCAACCCTATGAATTTCATAGGAATTTTCATAGGGAAGGAAAATTAGGGAGGTAGTTCCTCTGGACATATAGCCTGGTATTGACTGAGGTTGTCATTCAAGTACTAACTTGCTTAACCTCTGTATCTTTGGCATTGATTTAGTCTTTCCCTCACCTATAAGCAATACTTAAACTGACTTCAATCCAGATGTGCAGAGTAAAACTCCAACACTGATAGAGATGTGTTCCACACTGGGCATGCATATTCAGCAGCAGAGTAGCAAGTGAAAGGGCAGATGTCTTCACTGTGTCTGGTTGTGATCCCCAGGATATTATTTCTAGTACCCACTTTTTGCTTGATAGTCAAGTAGTGCTTCTTGTAAGCCAGAGCACGGTCCAGGGCAACTCCCAGATATTTTGGTGTGCTGCAATGCTGCAGTGGGATTTCTTCTTGGGTAATCCTCAGAGCTCGAGATACTTGCCTATTCTTAAAGTGAAAAGCACACGTCTGTGTTTTAGATGGATTAGGAATCAGCTGGATTCCCCTGTAATAGGCAGTAAGAGCACCTACAACTTCAGAGAGCTTCTGATCAACTACTTCAAACCTCCCTTAAATCAAGAAATAGCTTTTGAAGATCTACAGAGATACTTGCAGGAACACCTCAGCAAGCAAGAGTCCAAAAGTGGCAGGCTAATAACTGGAACCTCAATCCATGGCTGATACCGAATGAGAGACTCCCTTTTGGGCACACAGAAGACTGGATGACTTGGAAGGCGCTGAACAGACTGCGCTCTGGCACCACGAGATGCAGAGCCAACCTTGAGAAATGGGGCCACAAAGTGGAGTCCAAGACATGCGAGTGTGAAGAAGAGCAAACCACAGACCACCTACTACAATGCAGTCTGAGTCTTGCCACATGTACAATGGAGGACCTTCTCCTGGTGACACCAGAGGCACTCCAAGTGGCCAGATACTGGTCAAAGGACATTTAGTATAATGCCAAGTTATTTACTTTGTTTTTGTTTTTAAATAAATTACAACTTTACCCTCAATTTGCTTATGACATGATAAATAAATACCGATAGAGATTCATGTGAGTGAGAAAGTAAAGGAAGACATTAGGGCTGGAACTATTAAGCTAACCTAAGCAAATCCCATCCACCCAAATTCTGAGAGGTTCGCAGGTTCTTTTGTTTGTTTGTTTGTTTTTGTCGTGTCAGGAGCGACCTGAGAAACTGCAAGTCGCTCCTGTTGTGAGAGAATTGGCCGTCTGCAAGGACGTTGCCCAGGGGATGCCCGGATGATTTGATGTTTTTATCATCCTTGTGGGAGGCTTCTCTCATGTCCCCGCATGAGGAGCTGGAACTGATAGAGGGAGCTCATCCGTGCTCTCCCCGGACTTGAACCTGTGACCTGTCGGTCTTCAGTCCTGCTGGCACAGAGCTTTAACCCACTGTGCTACCGGGGGCTCCACTGGGGGGTTCTCAGGTGTCAATTCCAGATTTGTAATATGGCACCCCTGTTGATACCCCGAGACTTGTGTTTCTGCCCAACAAGCCTTGATAACCCACCTCTTCATTAAATTTTGCGACCAGCTGGCGGGCGGTGAGCTGCCAGGCGCTGCTGCAGCCTTCTAGAGCTAAGAGTTGAGGCAGAAACTGTTCTTGGTTCAAGATCTCAGTGGTGGAGGAAGAATCTGCCAAGTCCTCAAAGTGGTACCTGGTGGAGATAAGGATGGAGAAGTTAGGCTGGAAAAAAAAAGGAGCAAACATCACACCTCTCAATCGTGGAAAGAGACTGAAAGAGGGAGAGCAGAAGAGTTGGTCTACACATCCCAGAATCTACCTAGTCCCAGAGTTCGATCTACATTGACCTGGTGAACAAGGTCACTAGCTACACAGTCAGATTTTCATAATTTGAACCATCATTGAAATCAGGGCTTCACAAACTTTTCCACTTGGGAATCCTTTTGGCCTGAGAAATGTTTACATGACCCTGGGTCGGTCGGTCTGTCTGTCTATCTATCTATTAATTCTCTGTTCATTTTGAGTGACATCATAACTCAAAATCCGCTAGACGAATTGCCGCCACATTTGGCCACAAGACACCTACTAACCCAAGGAGTGACCATCACTCAAAAATATTGATTTTTGTCATTTGGGAGTTGGCATACAGAACTCCCACAACCAACAGAAAACCCCTGTGCCGGCAAGACTGAAGACTGACGGATCACAGGTTCGAATCTGGGGAGAGGCGGATGAGCTCCCTCTATCAACTCCAGCTCCTCATGCGGGGACATGAGAGAAGCCTCCCACAAGGATGATAAAAACATCAAATCATCCGGGCCTCCCCTGGGCAATGTCCTTGCAGACGGCCAATTCTCTCACACCAGAAGCGACTTGCAGTTTCTCAAGTCGCTCCTGACACGACCAAAAAAAAAAAATCACATCATGAGGAACTGTATTAAGGGTTGCAGCATAACCACAGGTGTAGGCTGTGAAGTCTTTTTAGAAACCTGAAAAATCAATTTCTGAGTTGTTGTAGGTTTTTTTGGGCTATATGGCCATGGTCTAGAAGCATTCTCTCCAGATGTTTCGCCTGCATCTATGGCAAGCATCCTCAGAGGTAGTGAGGTAATTTCTGAGTTATTTCCTGCTTCAAAAAAAAAGGCATCTGCTGGGCTTAAAGCAACGGGGAAAGGAGAGCTAAAATGTGATTAAATGTGTGTGTATTGGGGAAGAGGGACTTTTCCTCCATCATAACAACAGAAGGATAGGAAGCTCAGAAAGATGTGTAAGAGACAAACGTTGCAGGGCTGGGTTGCCTGGAATGTAAACCAATTGTCATTAAAAAGTGGAGATACTGGGGATCGAACCCAGGACCTCATACATGCAAAGCATGCGCTCTACCACTGAGCTATATCCCCTCTTGTTCACACTGATGCCTCCAGGCAGTAATCAAATTTTAATGCCACTTTGAAGCACCCTATTACCTCCAGTTCAATGAGAAAATGTTTTTAAGCTTCGGATTACATCAAAGGAAAGGAAATCCTAGAAAAGGATCACTATCAACAACATGATGCATAGAGAGCAATGGCCTTGCTTTAAAGAAAAGCAATACTTCCTGGAAGGTTTCAAGGGATTTTTTATATTGTAAGAAGGCCTATACTCCCTTTTTTAAAAATGGTAGGAAAATACTGTAATAATATTAACTGCAAGACAGGTTTATATACACAAGTCCAAATGCCACAGCTTGCCATCTCTGGTGTGTGTGGCATTTTGAGCTACTTCACATTTCTAGCCTTTGTCCTTTTTGCCTGCAGGGCAGAGTTTTAAAAGATGGAGATGCTGGGGATCGAACCCAGGGCCTCATACATGCAAAGCATGCGCTCTACCACTGAGCTACATCCCCTTGCTCTGGAAAGCCAACCTACCCTCTCATTGATCAGACATCTAATGGTATTTTGGAATAATCTAATTTTGGAGTAACTGCTTCATGGAGTATAGTTGGATTAATTTCCAAGTTAGCAGACACAGAGGGCAGCAGGATCAATATATTAGACATTTTTTGCATGAATTATACAAATAAACCGTAACTCCTATGTTTGATAAATAAACCAAAGTCCATTGTGTTGTCAAAGGTTTACATGGACGGAATCACTGGGTTGTGGTGAGTTTTCCGGGCTGTATGGCCATGTTCCAGAAGCATGCCGTCCTGACGTTTTGCCCACATCTATAGCAGGTTGTGAGGTCTGTTGGAAACTAGGGAACTGGGGTTTATATATCTGTGGAATGTCTGAGGTGGGAGAAAGAACTCATGTTGGCTTGAGGCAAGTGTGAATGTTGTAATTGGCCACGTTGGTTAGAACTGAATGACCTTGCAGCTTCAAAGCCCGACTGGTTGCTGCCTGGGGGCACCCTTTATCGGGAGGTATTACCTGGCCCTGATTGATTCTTGTTTGGAATTTCCCTGGTTTTTCTTTTTTTTAGTCTTGCTGGCAGCAACCAGCCAGGCTTTGAAGTTGCAAGGCAATTAATTAAGTAATTAATTAATTACGACACTTATATACCGTCCCTCTCAGCTCAAGGGCGACTCAGTGCAGTTAACAATAGGCAACAATTTGATGCCAAAACAGTTACAACAATTAAAACAATCATAAATACTATTAAAACACTAACAGCAATATAAAAAACCATACAGAGCATTAAAAACATTATCAAAGCATCTCCATATCAAATTATTGTCCAGTTGCGTCATCAGTGGTCAATAATATCGTATTTGGGAAGGCCTGCTCACCTTTCACCTTTGTTCGAAAGGTCAGGAGGGAGGGGGGCCAATCTTATCTCTTTAGGCAGAGCATTCCACAGTCGAGGGGCTACCGCTGAGAAGGCCCTGTCTCTCGTTCCCACCAGACACATCTGTGAGGAAGGCAGATGCCAATCAAGGTTGCCAACTGTCTGGAATTCCCCTGCTTTTTTTTGGTGTTGCTGACAGCAACCAGCCAGGCTTTGAAACTGCAAGACCACTAAATGCTAATCAAGGTGGCCAATTGATAATATTCTCACTTGCCTCAAGCAGACAAGAGTTCTTTCTCTCACCCTGGACATTCCAGATATAGAAACCTCACTTGCCTAATTTCTAACAGACCTCACGACCTTTGAGGATACCTGCTACTGATGTGGGCAAAACATCAGGAGAGAATGCTTCTGGAACATGGCCATAGAGCCTGGAAAACTCACAGCAACTCAAAGCAAAGTCTATTTGGGGGTTGTTTTTGATCCAGTTTTGATCCCCTTTAAATTAATAACCCACCTATGGACAGGTTAAGAGTGAGAAAAATGTTCTTGTGCATATCGGGTGTAGAAAAGTGCCAAGACAAAATAGTCAAAATATTTTAGTATGTTTCAATCAAGTTTTTTCTACCAAAAATTATCATTCCTCATGGTCAAGAAAAAAAAATTCTGGAGATGCTGGGGATTGAACCCAGGACCTCATACATGCGAAGCATGCGCTCTACCACTGAGCTACATCCCCTCCCTGCTTCCTTTTTTCTTCTTTCTCATCTTGCTGCCAAATGACCCATTCCTGAGGTGTCTACCTCAATTAATTGGCATGTTGTCGCCTCTATCTGAAACCAAATCCAAGTTTTAGATTAAATTGAAACAATAATCCTAGGTTTATTTGTCACTTCTTAAAAGGAGAAAATGAAGTGAATTGTGATTGATGCTTAGCTTGGATCTGCCCTCTAAGGGCCCTCCCATACAGCCTTATATCCCAGAATATCAAGGTGGAAAATCCCACAATATCTGCTATCTGTTATCTGAGTCCACACTGCCATATATTCCAGTTCAAAGCAGATAATGTGGGATTTTATTCAGCTGCATGGAAGTGGCCTCAGGCAGCAATTCCCAACTTTTGGTCCTCCAGACATTTGGGACTTCAGCTCCCAGAAGCCCCTGCCAACTTAGTCAACTATCAGGAATTTTGGGAGCTGAAGTCCCAGACATCTGGAGGACAAAAGGATGGGAACCACTGCTCTAAGAGAAACAATGGGCTACTGCCAGGAGTCTTGGGCTGCATCTAAACCAATGGTTCTCAACCTGGGGTCCCCAGATGTTTTTGGCCTACAACTCCCAGAAACCCCAGCCAATTTACCAGCTGTTAGGATTTCTGGGAGTTGAAGGCCAAAAAAATCTGGGGACCCCAGGTTGAGAACCACTGACAAACTGTTGAATTAATGCAGTTTGTCACCACATGAACTGCCATGACTCAGTGGTATGGGATCGAGGGAGTTGCAGGTTTGCAAAGTCTTTAGCACAGCATTTCTCAACCAGGGCTCGGGACCCCTGAGGGGGCGTGAGGAGGGTGTTAGACGAGTCGCCAAAGACCATCAGAAAACACAGCATTTTCTGTTGGTTATGGGAGTTCTGTGTTGGAAGTTTGGCCCAATTCTATCGTTGGTGAGATTTAGAATGCTCTTTTGATTGTAGGTGAACTATAAATCCCAGCAACTACAACTCCCAAATGTCAAGTCTATTTTCCCAAACTCCATCAGTGTTCACATTTGGGCATATTGAGTATCCGTGCCAAGTTTGGTCCAGATCCATCATTGAGTCCACAGTGCTTTCTGGATGTAGGTGAACTACAACTCCAAAACTCAAGGTCAATGCCCACCTAACTCTTCCAGTATTTTCTCTTGGGAGTTCTGTGTGCCAAGTTTGGTTCAACTCCATCGTGGGTGGAGTTCAGAATGCTCTTTGATTGTAGGTGACCTATACATCCCTGTAACTATAACTCCCAAATGACAAAATCAACACTACCACCCCCAATCCAATCAGTATTCAAATTTGGGCGTATTGGGTATTTGTGCCAAATTTGGTCAAGAGATCATATCATATCAGATATTTACATTACGATTCATAACATATGCAAAATTAGTTGTGAAGTAGCAACATAAATAATTTTGTGGTGGCACTGGGACTCTAGACATCACAAAAATTATGTTAGTGCTATCTTGTATTTAACAGTGCACTGCATCCACCTGCCTAATGTTATTAAATGGGAATATACTCCACTCTTATTGGGCTTGTCAAAATGAAAACCTGAGAAGACTCTTGTGCCTTTAAGAGTTGTGTAGAAGACATACTTTCAGCTGTTCTTGCTTCTTACCTGGTTGTGCAACAGTCAACAACACCAGTTGAAATTCCCCTTCTTCTGCAAAATGCTTAAATGTGTAGTTTGGTGAGGCATCAGCCTTCTTGGGACCTTGCAAAACTACAATTCCCAGGATTTGATAGCATTGAGTCATGGCAGTTACAGTGGTGTCAAACTAGATTGATTCTACAGTGTATGGATCTCAGGTTGGCTCGGCTCATTTCTTGTCTTAATGATTTGTTAATAGAGATAAGAGTAGTCTTGTTTGTAAAAAAGTGGAGATGCTGGGGATCGAACCCAGGACCTCATACATGCAAAGCATGCGCTCTACCACTGAGCTACATCCCCTCTGATGACAATGTCATCTGTGCGCATTCAGAAGAAGACCTACAAGCCACTCTAAACACCTTCGCAGAAGCATATGAGAAGCTCGGCCTCTCATTGAACATCAAGAAAACCAAAGTGCTCATCCAGGAGTCACCAGCCAATTCCTTTCCAATGCCAGAAATGCAGCTTAATAGTGTAACATTAGAAAATGTTGACCATTTCCGTTACCTTGGCAGCCAACTCTCCAGAAAAGTCAACATTGACACTGAAATACAACATCTGCCTGAGCACTGCGAGTGCAGCATTTTTCCGAATGAAGCAGAGAGTGTTTGAGGACCAGGACATCTATAGGAGACCAAGGTGCTTGTTTATAAAGCTATTGTCCTCCCAACCCTGCTATACGCCTGTGAAACGTTGACTGTCTACAGACGTCATATGCAACTCCTGGAACGATTCCATCAGCGCTGCCTCTGAAAAATCCTGCAAATCTCCTGGGAAGACAGGCGGACAAATGTCAGCATGCTGGAAGAAGCAAAGACCACTAGCATTGAAGCGATGCTCCTCCACCATCAACTTCATTGGATTGGCCATGTTGTCTGAATGCCCAATCTCCCAAAGCAGTTGCTCTACTCCAAACTCAAGAACGGAAAACAGAATGTTGGTGGACAGGAAAAGAGATTTAAAGATGGACTTAAAGCCAACTTCAGAAACTGTGGCATAGACACTGACAACTGGGAAGCCCTGGCCCTTGAGCAGTCAAACTGGAGGTCAGCTGTGACCAGTAGTGCTGCAAAATTCGACGAGGCATGAATGGAGGGTAAAAGGGAGAAACGTATCAAGAGGAAGACATGTCAAGCCAACCCTGACCATAACCACTTTCCGTCTGGAAACCGATGTCCTCACTGCGGGAGAACATGCAGATCAAGAATAGGGCTCCATAGCCACCTATGGACCCACCGCCAAGACACTACACTTGGAGGACCATCATCCTCAGGCTACGCAGGATCACCCAATTGAAAAAAAACATTGAAAATTGACATCCCCTCTGGAAAATAACTGATAAACTTCATTTAACTCCTTCTGAGGAACTATATCAAGGTCACACATGCTATTGGATATTAACTCTTAGCCAACATAGCCCATGATTAGGGAAATATGGTATTTGTAGTCCCACCACATCTAAGACAGCACAGGTTGCCCATTCCTGAACTATAGGAACACATCAAAAGAAAAATTTTGGAAATGCCACTTTTTGTTGATAACAACTCCCAGGATAGAATAAATTCATGAATCCGAAGGGCGCATCCACATTGTAGTTTGGCACTTCTTTTAACTGCTCAATACTATGGAATCCTGGGAGATGTAGCTTTTCAAAGTCTATAGCCTTCTCTGCCAAAAAGTGTTGAAGCCTCGGTGGCGCAATGGGTTAAACCCTTGTGCCGGCTGAACTGCTGACCTGAAGGTTGGAAAATCTGCAAGATGAGAGTGAGCTCCCATCTGTCAGCCCCAGCATTCCATGCGGGGACATGAGAAAAGTCTCACACAGGATGATAAGACATCCAGGCGTCCTTGCAGACAGCCAATTCTCTCACACCAGAAGCAACTCCAATTCGTTTCTGACACGGAAAAAAAAACCAAACTACAACTAGGATTTCATAGCAATACACCAAAAAGTGTTGTAAAACTGCATTAATTTTACCATACAGATGTGCTTGGTGCAATAAATAAAAAGGCCTCTCTGACCATGTGAAGACTTGACTTTTTTTTCTCTCTCAATGAGCCAGAGTTAAGATTAAAGGGCAAAGGCTGAATATATGTGTGTGTGTGTGTGTGTGTGTGTATATATATATATATATATATATAATATTTAATTGCGTATATCAAATCTATCTCCCTACATGGGACCCAAAACAGTTTGCAACCCTCAAAAATTATTTTTAAAAGATAGCGTTCAAAGATACAAAAAATACAGTGCACATATCTCATTAAAAGGACTAATAATAATATATTTTTATTTCTTACCTGGCTCTCCCCAAGACAGGGCGCAACACAGTTAAAAACAACCAGTTAATTAAAAAGTCTAAATGAAAAAGGTCTGGATCTCTGATAAACTATGAAAACCATCTCAAATATGTTTAGTTCCAAAGAGACATGCTTTCCATCACTTACCTGGCAGCGTTTTCATCTGGCACACTTGCCTGATATTCTAGTAGTTCTATAATGATGCTTTGGTCTGTACTTGGATGAACAAAGACTTCTTGGTTATCAGGTACCTGGCGCATCTCACTGCAAAGGAAAAAAATGATTGGGAAGAGGGAATCTGGCAAAGTAGAGTAGACATATTTAGGAGAGGTGAGTCTAACAGATGAAGGAATCATGTGACTAGATGGACTACAATGTCCATTATTCCTCACTGATGGGAATGGTTGTCCCAAAAATTCTGGTGTTCATCACCAGAAAAAAAATCTGGTGTTCATCACAACTATTCAGATATTTTGGGACTGCAATTCCTAGCAGTCAGCATAAGGAGTGGGGAACAATAATGGGAATTGTAGTACATAGTGTCATTTTTTTCATGTCAGAAGCAACTTGAGACAATGATGTGAGAGAATTGGCTGTCTACAAGGATGTTGCCCAGGGAATGCCCAGATATTTTACCATCCTGTGGGAGGTTTCTCTCATGTCCCTGCATGAGAAGCTAGAGCTGACAGATGAGAACTCACCCCACTCCCCGGATTCAAACCGCCAACCTTTTGGTTTAACCCATTGCGCCACCAAGGGCTCCATGTCATAATCCATCTGGTTTCATGACGAGGCCAGGCTAATAACATTTAAAATTGAAAAACTCTACATCCTAATATTATTTTATTGTAATTTTATTTCAAGTGACGCACCATTTGTGCGTCAGAAGTTGGTCATAGAGTGATTCTGGAGAAATAATAATAATAAAACTTTATTTGTACCCCGCTACCATCTCCCCAAGGGACTCGGTGCGGCTTACATGAGGCCAAGCCCACAGCACATCAATAAACAAAGGCAATAAAATAATCAATACAAACAATTAAAATAAAATAAAATAAATAAAACTCAAAAACAAAAAATACACATTAAGCAATAAACAATAACAATAATAACATACAGCATTTAAAAACCTATGGCCGGGCCAAATGTAATAATTAAAATTGAAAATGCTGGACATGAACAAGGAGGTAAACTAGGATAGGGTTTTCAGAGAAAGATGAGGGCGCGCAGACAATCCTAAATCAATATTAAAGTGCATTTGAGGACATATTGCTAAGAGTTTCCTAGAGAAAACTTATCTGGGCATCTCTAGGTCTTCCAATTACAATACTATTTGTGACGAAATGAAAATCAATGCATAAATGTAACAGTATTCAAAAGTACCAGGCTCAGCTATCTCCCCATGCAAAGCTCAACCAATCAGCTTAATGCATCTTATTTTGCAGTTGACACATACACACTGATTTCTTACATGCTCTAATACTATTGATGTTAACATTTAAATTGATGTTTTTAACTCCACGTTTTAACTGTCTAAATGTTGTTACGTTTTTATGATCTAATAGATAGTTATATGTTATGGTTGCTCTATGTTAGCTTTTATATGTATGTGGGGCATTGAATTTTGCCATAAATATGTTGGAAACCGCTTTAAGTTCCCCCAAAGGGAGAAAAGCAGTAAAGCAGTAAAGTTAAGTAAATAAAAATAGATACTATGATCAACTTCCTTTCCTGGAGATCCTGCCAGGAACTGTGGAAGTCCAACTGTATTACTTTGGGTGCATGATTGATGTTATTTTAAGTGTTAAATAGTTCAATTGTTTAACCTGATATGCTTGCTTTAAATTATTCATTTTATTGTAAGCACTGTTGAGATCCACCCCTGTGCCGGCAGGACTGAAGACTGACAGGTCCCAGGTTCGAATCCAGGGAGAGGCAGATGAGCCCCCTCTATCAGCTCCAGCTCCCCATTGCGGGGACATGAGAGAAGCCTCCCACAAGGATGATAAAACATCAAATCATCCGGGCGTCCCCTGGGCAACGTCCTTGCAGATGGCCAATTCTCTCACACTAGAAGCGACTTGCAGTTTCTCGAGTCACTCCTGACACGACAAAAAAAAAAAAAAAGATCCTTGGATGTGTGTTGGGGGGAGGGGTGCAATAAGTGCTTTAATTAATGATCGGGTTGTGGCACAGCTGATTGAGAGTCAGCTGCATTAAAATCGCCACTGACCGAAAGGTCATGAGTTCAAAGCTAACCAGGTCAGAGTAAGCTCCCGACCATTTGTCTAGCTTGCTATCAACCTTTGCAGCCCAAAAAGCAGTTGCATCTGTAAATGTAGTACCGCTTATGCGGGGAGGCTAATTTAACTAATTTATGACGACATAAAACTCTCCAGCAGTGTGCAAAAGAATGAGGAAGTACTCCATCAGTGTCACAAGTGGACGGTGAAGTGACAGCTCCCCCGGTGGCCAGAATTCAAAAAGCATACCCTCATGAAGCTGGAAAGTTAAATAGTCTCTTTGTGTCTGTCTATATATATTGTGTGTCTATGGCACTGAATGTTTGCCATATATACGTACATTGTGATCCGCCCTAAGTCCCCTGCAGGGTGAGAAGGGCAGAATATAAATACTGTAAATTAATTAATTAATTAACAAATGCATGTATGTAATAGAAGGTACATATCTCATCCCAGATCACAGGCGTGTACGGCAGTTGTTGGGCAATCAATGATGCTTGCATTCATACCCCAGTGTTGGGACTGCATGCAAATGCAACATTGCCCAAACAGGCCTAATTTTGCTGTGAGAGGATGGCATGAAATAATGACTGGATACCTGACATCAATGCTGCCTGGAGGAAGGCAGGCAGAAAATGCTCCTCCAAAGAGTGGGTGCCCTTCCTGCTGCGGGTTTATTTCGTCGCCCATGGCTCTTCCTACAAGGAAAGCAAAAAGATGAGCAATTTGTGAGTGGGAAACACATTTAAAGTACAGTATATCCAGAAGAGTACAGACCAAAATAGAGAGGGTAAAGGCAGGGAAAGCGCCACTCAAAATACTAGTCAAAACACTGCTGAGTTTATTGTCGAAGGCTTTCATCGTTGGAATCACAGGGTTGTTGTAGGTTTTTTGGGGGCTGGTATGGCCATGTTCTAGAAGCATTCTCTCCTGACGTTTCACCTGCATCTATGGCAGGCATCCTCAGAGGTTGTGAGGTCTGTTGGAAACTAGGAAAATTGGGTTTATATATCTGTGGAAAGTCCAGGATGGGAGAAAGAACTCTTGTCTGCTGGAGCTAGGCGTGAATGTTTCAATTGGACACCTTGATTAGCAAACAGAGTCTGAAATTCACTTCCCAGGGACATTAGACATGCCCCAACGTTGGCAGTCTTTAGGAGAGCTTGAAAACGTGGTTGTTCCGGTGTGCCTTCTCAGAATAAGGAGAACTCTCAGCAATATGCCCTCATAATGCACTTTAATACTGACTTAGGATGGATTGCATTCCCTCGTTTCTCTCTGAAAAATCCTATCCCAGTTACATTTTACCTGTTCACGTCAGCATATTTTCAATTTTAATCTATTACATTTGGCCCGGCCATTTTTAATATGTCATTATTGATTGTTGTTTTTGTTATGTGATTTATATGATTTGTATTTTATTGATTGTTTATTAATGTGTTATTGATGTCTGTTTGATGCACTTCGGGCTTGGCCTCATGTAAGCCGCACCGAGTCCCTTGGGGAGATTAGCAGGGTACAAATAAAGTTTATTTATATTTATATTATTTATTTAAGGAACATGAAAGGCACTAAAGGTAAATAAATATTTATTTATTTATTTACTATATTTGTATGCCGCCCTTCTCAGCCCTCAGGCGATGCAGGGCGGTTTACAGAGGCAACGATTCGATGCCCAAGAACATCATAAAACATTTAAAACATTACTACATAGTATAAAACCAAACAAAAGTAATAAAAACATAAGCCATTTGCATCTCCTAATTAAAAAAACATTATTCATCTCGTTGTCCAGTCGTTCCAAGTTCCTATGTCCTATGGCTTGCTCAAAGAGCCAGGTCTTGACTCTTTTCTGGAATGTTAAGAGGGAGGGGGCCGATCTAATGTCCCTAGGAAGGGCGTTCCATAACCAAAGGGCCACCACTGAGAAGGTCCTGTCTCTTGCCCCCACAAAACGTATTTGTGACGCAGGCGGGATCGAGAGCAGGACCTCCCCGGACATGAAGAGTAGTTCGATAACACAACAACATTTTTAATACAGTCCAAAGACTCTTATTGCTCCGTAAAAGGTATAAGATACAAGGTATGCAAGGTTAGTAAGGCCCAAAATAGCCAAAACTGATTAAAACACACAGTGTGGGTGGAATTAACAGCAGATAAAACCGATAAAAAGGATTAAAACTTATAACCAGCATTAAAGATAACAATGACCTAGGTAAAATACTATAAAGGGTAACAGGCATGTTTCATTGTGCTATAACATAAAATACTTTAAATTATATGGTTTCAAGTATATTTATATAGACTTCATTAAATCAAATTTCTATTTTAGTTAAAGTTTCAAGTCTTAAAATAACTGAAAATGATTGCTAATTGATAATTTATAGTTACAAAAGAATACCACAACGTTTGTTAGAAACACTTGAAAACTGTGTCAATACACTTTGACAGAAATCAGGCTCTATTGATAAACTTCGGTGGACACTCAAGAGTGCAAGTCCAGTCAGTCTTTCTTGCCTCATTGTGCTTCTTGTGTATGTTTTCAAACGTTTAAGGGTTGAAAACGACCTTTCATTTGTAGCTGTTGACACTGGCAATGTTGCAGAAATCTGAAGAAGTTTCTTCATATTTGGAAAAAACTGTCCATCACAGACAAGATATGCTTCCAGTGCATTGGATGGTTTTTCTGCAGGTGCAATCTCATAGACTTAGCATGGGGATTTGGTTAACCAGTTAAAATTCATGAGTAAACCAGTTTTTTTAACCTGAAAAATTGGGGGGGGGGGGTGAATCCCTAAATCTCCCCTCCCCTGGCTACAGGCCTGGCCACTCTCACAACCACCATGTCAGGCTACACAGAGAAACCATTGAAATCCACCTGCATGTGGACAATTTCAACAGAAAGGAGGAAACCATGAAAATGAACAAAATCTGGCGACTAGGGTTAAAAAAAACCCTAAAGTTATAACAGTAAAGAACAAAACTCAAACACAGGGGAACTCCAGACAATAAACAATCAGGGACAGCTAATACCCTCTCAACAAAAGATTCTCCCAGGCAGTAACAAAAGGTAAAGGTAAAGGTAGTCCCCTGACATTAAGTCCAGTCATGTCTGACTCTGGGGTGTGGTGCTCATCTCCATTTCTAAGCTGAAGAGCCAGCGTTGTCCGTAGACACCTCCAAGGTCATGTGGCCGGCATGACTGCATGGAGAGGACTGCAAAATCAACAAGGCTAACAAGGATTTCTTGGTGTTGTTGTTATTATTATTATTATTATTATTATTATTATTATTATTACTATCATCATCATCATCATCATCATCAGAGTTGCCTCAAAGACAAGAGTTCTTTCCCCACCCTGGACTTTCCACAGATATATAACCAACTTCCTAGTTTCCAACAGACCTCACAACCTCTGAGGATGCCTACCACAGATGCAGGCGAAATGTCAGGAGAGAATGCTACTAGAACATGGCCATACAGCCCGAAAAACCTACAACAACCCACTGCTGAATTTCTTAAGCACAAAAAACATAACAGAGTACCAAGAGTGCATCTACAGTAGAATGAATGCAGTCTGACACCACTTTAACTAACATGGATTGATGCTGTGGAATCCTGGGAGTTGTAGTTTGGTGATGCACCAGCACTCTTTGACAGAGAAGGCTAAAGGTCTTGTTCAACTTCCGAGATTCCATAGCATTGAGCCATGGGAGTTAAAGTGGTATCAATCTGCATTAATTCTATAGTTGTTGTTGTTCATTCGTTCAGTCGTCTCCGACTCTTTGTGACCTCATGGACCATCCCACGCCAGAGCTCCCTGTCGGCCGTCACCACCCCCAGCTCCTTCAAGGTCAGTCCAGTCACTTCAAGGATGCCATCCATCCATCTTGCCCTTGGTCGGCCCCTCTTCCTTTTGCCTTCCACTTTCCCCAGCATCATTGTCTTCTCTAGGCTTTGCTGTCTCCTCATGATGTGGCCAAAGGACTTCCACTTTGTCTCTAGTCTCCTTCCCTCCAATGAGCAGTCGGGCTTTATTTCCTGGAGGATGGACTGGTTGGATCTTCTCGCAGTCCAAGGCACTCTCAGCACTTTCCTCCAACACCACAGCTCAAAAGCATCGATCTTCCTTCGCTCAGCCTTCCCTAAGGTCCAGCTCTCACATCCGTAGGTTACAGGGAATACCATGGCTTTGACTAGGCGGATCTTTGTTGCCAGTGTGATGTCTCTACTCTTTACTATTTTATCGAGATTGGACATTGCT